AACATGAAACACCAGTGAGCCAAGATCGCACCACTGACTCCATCCTTGGCAATAAAGTGAGACTCAGTCTCAAAAAAAGAAAGAAGTGATCATACATAAAACCTATAAAGTTATTTTATAGAATATAAAAAACATGTAAATTTGCATAAATCTGTTAATAGATACACCATATAATTAAACATCAATAGCAACCTGGAAATATGGAGGCCTAGTTTTTGTGTTCAGTTGAAGCTGTGATGAGATGAAAATATATCGTTTTAACTGTGAGATATATGTCATATCCAGTTTTCAAAATGATTACAAAAATATTTATAAAAAGTATGCAAAATAAAAAATAATGCATGCCAGTACAAAATTAAATGAACATTAAAATGAATCATCTGGGCTTGGTGGCTCATGCTTGTAATGCCAGTACTTTGCAAGAGTGAGATGGGTGGCAAAGTAAAACAGGAAATAAAAAGACATTAACTACTAGAAACTCATAAGAAAAACAATATAACTTGGTAATACAACTGTGAAAGTAGAGACGTTCCTCTTTAAAGTTTTCTCATATTTTCCTGTAATCCTAGCACTTTGGGAGGCCGAGGTGGGCAGATCACTTGAGGTCAGGAGTTGGAGACCAGCCTGACCAACATGGTGAAACCCGGTCTCTTCTAAAAATAAAAAAAAATCAGCTGGGCGTGGTGGCGCATGCCTGTAATTCCAGCTACTCAGGAGGCTGGGGCAGGAGAATTGCCTTAACCCAGGAGGCGGAGGTTGTGGTGAGCCGAGATCGCGCCATTGCACTCCAGCCTGGGTAAGGAGCAAAACTCCGTCTCAAGAAAAAAAAAAAGACACTGCTGTCTTTAACCCAAATGTGGATAAGTAATTAAGGACTATAATCGCCACCTTACCCAGACAATGAGTAAACAAATGCTAATCTTGACTTTCGTGAACCACTTAAGTAACAACCAGAATGTCAAAAAGTCCCCTGGCCCTCGGAATGTCTGGAGCCCCTCACCCTATCTTCTCCCAGGAATCCACTGGAATGTCTGGAACCTCCTCACCCCCACCCCCGCCCATCACCCTCATTCCCAAGGTGATTTTTACTGGTTTAAAGGGTCTTGACACCCTCCTTTCGGGGCCGTGGGTTGGAGAGACAGGAGTCCTCCGTAGCCAGTGGCAATAAAGACCGTGCAATTTCAAAAAAAAAAAAAAAAAAAAAGAAAAACCTCACCCTCAAGACCCAGGGATGCAGGACCTGACAAAAACTGAGGCTGGCCCAGGACAATCCCCGCCCCCAACTCACCAGGTCAGCCAGAACCGAGTAATAACAGTTTGTCTACTACTAACATAGAGGCAATAACATGGAGAGTGGCCCTCCCTGAGATGCTAGCACACAGGAAAGGCCTACAGGCCTAAAGGCAAGTGTGGTCTGGGAATAATAAAAATTCTCTGGGCAAACCAGTGCCTACCTCAAGCACAAGGTATCATTAGAGGAATTTTAAGTCTATGGCACAGCAAAGGTAACACTGGCAACAAAGAAGCACAAACTCAGCCTAACTCCTGATTAGATGGATTCAATCCTCCCATGCTAATGGCCTATCAAAAGGGCAACCATGGCTCTTTCCAGGAATAATTGCTATTTATCTCCGTTTCTACTATCCTACATACAACATCTGACATTCAGCCAAAAATCATTAGATGCAAAAGAGCAAGAGAAGACAACTCACCATTAAGAGACAAAGCAATCAACAGATCTAGACTGAGTTGACCTACTAGTTGGAACTATCAGACAGGGAGTTTAAAATAACTATGATTAATATGTTAGAGGGTACTATGGGCTGAACATTTGCATCCCCCCACAAATTCATATGTTAAAATCCTAATCCTCAATATGATGGTATTAGGAGGTAGAGCCTTTGGGAGGTAGCTAGGTAATGTGGGTGAAGACCTCATGAATGGGACTGGTGCCCTTATAAAAGGGATCCCAAAGAGCTCTCTATCTGTAGACATGGGAAAATACAACAAGTCAGCAGTTTGCAACCTTGAAGAGGGCCGTCACCAAGACCCAGCCATGCTGGATTCTGATCTCAGATTTTCAGGCTCCAGAACTGTGAGAAATAAATTTCCGTTGTTTACAAGCCACCAAATCTATGGTGCTTTGTCATAGCAGCCCAAACTAAGACAAAGGGTATAGGGGAAAACATGAACATGCATGAGAAGACGAGGAATTTCAGCAGAAATATGAAAACTATAAGAATCAAATGGAAATATTAGAAATAAAAATAAAATCTAACTGAGTTGAAGAATGCCTTCAATAGTTTCATCAGCAGACTTGACAGAGCCAGGGTAAGGGGAAAAAAAATCAGTGAACTTGAAGATACATCAATAGAAATTATTCTAACTGAAACACAAAGAGATATAAAGACTGAAAAAAGGACACATAGATAGGGATGAAGACATCTGTAGCATTTTTCTATCTAACACAGTATGTCTTCTGGTCACAAATTATTCACATTACCACCCATCATGCAAAATATGTTCACCCCTATTCCAGGACGTCCAAATTTCTCATCCAAAATTGTGCCGTCACGTTCCAATCCAGGATCTTAAGTCTTCTGTATCAGGTTCAGTTGTGGCTGAGGTTCCCTGGGTACAGTTTTCCAGTTTCTTGATCCAGACACCTGTGAGCTAAATGACAAGTTATATGCCCCCCAACACATACCCAATATATACAATGGTGGGATAAGTACAGGATAACTGTGTTAGACACTCCCATTCAAAAAGAGGAGGACCAAGAGGCACATATAAGTCACTGTTCCATAACCATTCTGAAATCCCACAGAGCAAATGTCAGTTCCCCTGGCTCCAGGGCAGATAATGTTTCTTGATTAGGGCACAGTTCTCACTGGGAATGGCTCCCAAGTCCTTTTAATATATTGTTCTTGGGTCTTCCCTCTGAGATGCCCTTCGTTTCCCATAAGAAATGGACCATGCTTGCAACTGAGTAACTTTCTCAGCTTGTATCCTATTCATAGAAGTTACGGAGGGGAATCCAGGGGCCACTTTTCATTTTGAACTGTTTTGGTCCCTGTAAGTCCAACCTGGAGGTAGTATTACTAGTAAATCTCTATTAAAAACTTTGTTTCCTATGAATCTGGTTTGGATCTAGTCCTTTCCCCAAATGCCACATCAGAAATTCTTTCAAAGATAGATCTCTCTCCACTTTGAGTAGTACGTCAGGCTTCTACGGGACAATGTCATGAAGATTTTTAGAAGCCCTTAAGTTTAGCTGAGATGGTCTCCTAAGCACCAACTTAACTATTTCATACATTGTAATATAGAGTCTTATAGACACAACTATGATTTGATCTTTACCCTGAGGCCATGTTTTACCTTGAGAATATTTTGATTGCTGGAGAGACTAGCGATGTGAAACTGTTATTTTCCAGCCCAGCAATCCTTGGCTTTTCTGTATGTCTTCTGAATTCTGCTTGCCAATAGATAAGTTATTTCTTTAGTTCATTTCTCTCTTTCTGAATCTTATCATATACAGCTAAAAGAAGCAAACTGATACTTCCCATATACTGCGACAAATCTCCTTAGCCAGATCCATAAGTTCATTTGGTCCATTCTCTGTCTTCCCACAGAGTATGATGACAGTTGCTTTTCTGTATTCTTCCCTTCTAAATAACATGGGTTGCCATCTATCCAAACTTTGTTAACAGATTTCCTCACTGTTTTTCCAGTTTCTACCTGCCACTCAGACCCAAAGCCAATGCCACATGTCACGTTTTGGTCCACTATGCCCCCTCCCCCAATCATATACTTTCAAATATTACTTAGCATTTTCTGTACAACAAACTACCCCCAAAACTTACATTGATTAAAACTATAATAATTTTATTTATCTCACAATTCTGTAAATTGGCTGGAATAACTGGTATGGCTCTTCTGGGCTAGGCTGGCTCAGCTGGGGCTAGAGGTCTGGGAAAACCTCACTCCTAATTCTGACAATTGGCAGGCTACTTGGTCTAAGGGGCCTCAGCAGGGCTGGCTCACCACTGCTGCATGTGATGGTTTTTCATCCCCCAGTACGGCAATTCGAGATTCCTCAGGTTTGCAAAGAGCAGCAAAAGAGGGTAAGCTTCAAGGCAGGCTTTGCACACTTCTCAAGCTTCTTATTGATTCTCTTTGCCAATGTTCATTGGCCAAAGAAAGTCACATGGCCAAGTTCAAAGTCAAGTAGTAGACAAAGAGATGCTACTTGGGATAGGAGGAATCTGTGGCTACTTTGCATTGTACCACAATGAAAGAAAACTGTCAGGGATACTATGTCATGGAAACCAGTATGAATGATAGGACTGTATTTGTGTGTTCATATAAAATTATATCTGCAGATGTGTGTATACATAAAACCAAAGTGACTTTTGAATTGTGGATTCACTTGATAGAAATATTCAATAAGAAACATATTTGATAGACATATTCAGTAAGAAACATTTGATGAACATATTCTAAATTTGAAAAAATTAATATTCCTCCTGTTATGTACTGTGTTCTGCCACAAACACCCTATAGAACTGACAGTAGGTCTACTCATCAGTTATATTATTTTGCTGCACTACCTTTCATTTTGTTATCACTTTAAATTGCTTAACACAGTAAACATGACCATCATTTACGTAATTTGCACTCTCCTTCCTATGAAGAATTTGGTAACAATTTGACTTATAATACTTTCTATAGGAAGGCTTTTCCTACCACACCAAACTGACAACGTTTTTCCCAATGACTTCTACTATATTTCATGAGGCTGTGCAAATACAGAAATTCTCCTTCAGTGCATTCTTAAGAGTGTTTCTTCTGGATAATTTTTTTCCATCTCAAGTGAGATAGCCTGTTGCTTTTTTTTATACAACATATTCATATAGGATCTGTCTTGGATGAATTTTATGATATATAGTTAGACCTGACTTTTGTGATAAGGCTCTCATTTTCAAGAAACAGGGTTACTTTCATGTATGAATATTACGATGCATACTGAGAACTGATTTCTGGGTGAAGCCCTTTCCACAGTCACTGCATTTATAGGGTTTATCTCCAGTATGAATTGTTTGATGTTTATTGAAATTTGACCTATCAGTGAAGGCTTTCCCACATTCTGCACATATATATGGTTTCTCCCCTGTGTGAATTCGTTGATGTACTTTGAGATGTGGTTTCTTGGAGAAGGATTTCTCACAGTCAGGACATTTATAAGGCTTCTCTGTAGTATGAATTCTCTGATGTGTAATCAACTCCGACTTCTGGATGAAGGCCCTCCCACAATCAGCACAAACATAGGGTTTCTCTCCAGTATGAATGGTCTGGTGTTTATTGAAATTTGACCTGTCAGTGAAAGCCTTCCCACATTCAGCACATATATAAGACTTTTCTCCAGTATGAGACTTCTGATGAGTATTGAGATTTGACCTGTTGGTGAAAGCCTTCCCACATTCAGTGCATATATAGGGTTTCTCACCGGTGTGAATTCGCTTATGCATCTGGAGTTGTGACTTAGAAGGGAAAGATTTCCCACAGTCACTGCATTCATACGGCTTCTCTCCAGTATGAATTCTTTGATGTGCAATCAAGTGTGCCTTCTGGATGAAGGCCTGCCCACACTGAGTACAGATATAAGACCTCTCTCCTGTATGGATTCTCTGATGCATCCTGAGTGTTGATTTTTGGGTAAAGGCTTTCCCACACTCACTGCATTTGTGATGTCTCTCTCCAGTATGAATTTTCTGATGTATATTGAGGGCTGAGTTCAGGGAGAACCCTTTACCACATTCACTGCATTCAAAGAGTTTTTCTCCAGTATGAGTTGTCTGATGCCTGAGTAGAGATGATACCTGGAAAAATGATTTCCCACATTCATTGCATTTAAAGGGTTTCTCTCTAGTATGAGTTTTCTCATGCACAATTAATTCTGAATTCTGGATGAAGGCCTTCCCACATTTAGTACATATGTAGAGTTTTTCATCTCTATGAACTCTCAGATATATACTGAGTAGTGGCTTCTGTGTAAAAACATTTACACATTTGCCAAGCTCATGAGGTTTTTCCACAGTATGAATTCTCTGAGGAGCAAAGAAGTGTGACCTCTGGGTGAAGATCTTCCCAAATTCAGTACATGTGTTTGCTTTCTCTCCAACGGGAAATTTCACATTTTGACTGAGTGAATGTTTGAGGCTGAGGACTTTTCCACATTGATTACGTTCACAGAACTTCACGCCTGCATGTGTACTTTCGTGGTGATTATAAGAAGAGCTCTGGGTGAAAACCTGACCATGCCCAATAGTTTTATCCTGGTTCTTTGCTGCATTGCTTTTATTATGAATATGTAAGTCTAAATTATGCTTAAAACTCTTCCCAAATGAATCACGTTTATGGGGTCTTTTCTGTGAAACAATGAGATTTGGGCTTGAATGGACAAATTTTCCAATGTCTTTATATTCATAATCCCACTCTGTATTCAATATTTTCTTACTGAGGAAAGTAGTGTGACTCAGAAGTTTGTTTTGTTTTTCCTGACATCTCTTTATCTGTTCAGCATCTTGCCACAATTCTTCTAAAATAGAATACAATGAATCATCTCGTGTATCTTCACCCTGCGTTTCACTATGAAATGTAGATTTTCCAGAAATTCTTTTCTGGGAAGGCTTAATTCCAAATTTCCCATCTAAAAAGAGAAAGAAAAAGTAAAATTGATACAAACAACAGACTGCAAGAGATTAAAAGTTACATATAAGCTAATACAAACTGAACACAGTATTACTGAACAGTTTGTATTTATTGAAATCAGTAAATCTAATAAGACAATGATGACAAGAAATACATATATAGCACTTTTATGTGCCAAACTCTTACATGACACTTACAATATTCCAGGCACTGTTCTAAGAAATATATGCCATCACACGAAGCTTGACAACAAGGATACAGTCTGAGAGAGCTGTTATTAGGCAATTTCATTCTTGTGCAAACATCATAAAGTGTACAGTACTTATACAAACCCAGATGGTATAACCTACTACACATCTAGGCTACATAGTATAGCCTAGATGTACAGTAGGTACAGGGTTTCTCTCCTGTGTGAATTTGCTTATGCATCTGGAGTTCTGACTTAGAAGGGAAAGATTTCCCACAGTCACTGCATTCATAAGGCGTCTCTCCAGTATGAATTCTTTGATGTGCAATCTACTGTGCCTTCTGGATGAAGCTCCTAGGTTACAAATCAATACAGTATATGACCATATTGAATCCTGTAGGCAACTATAATACAATAGTAAGTATTTGTGTATTTAAACATATCTAAACATAGAAAAGGGAATGCATTGCACTACAACCCAGCAATGGCCATGATGTAACTTGGTGATAGACATTTTCCAATTTCATTATAATCTTAAGGCACTCGATGTCATTATGTGGTACATGACTGTACATATGAACTCATTTAATCCTTTCAGAGGTCCTATGAGGTATCTACTATTACTATCTACCTTTCGTAGATAAGAAAAGTGAAGGTCATGACAGTTACATAATTTGCCATAAAACACGGTTATTAAGTGTTGGATCTGGTGTTCAATATAAGCAGTCTAGTTCTATTTTGGTAGGAAGCTTGGCTATTAGGTAGGGTAGACAGAAGATTGACAATACAAGAGTTTTCAGGGGAAAGATCTAGGAGAGCCTTGGCTTGGAATTTAAGTCTTCATTAGCTTTCAATTCTAAATCCTCACTAATCTTGCTTGCCAGCAAAAATACAAAATATATGTGATAAAAATAATTTATTCATGTCTATGAAAATATTGTAGTCATAGCCATCCTAACCTACACAAACAGTAAATAGATGTCTATACTCCAGCTCTCCATCCAGGTGTAATTAATTGTTTTCTTGGACTTGCGTTATATATATCTAACAAAAAATAGCAGAGAAGACAAGTCATCTGTGGTAGAGACTGAAAGCTATCCACTAGAATCAGTTTCCCTGTTCTTTTGCATTTAACAGAGTAGCATCTGGGCATATGGATGTCCAGCCATAGAGCATTTCTCAGCATCCTTTGAAATTGGTGTGGCCATGTGACAGTGTTCTCAAAAAAAGACTGTGAGAGAAAACGATGCTGCCACTTTCAAACAGGAGCACTGAGACCATCGGCATGTTTTCTCCATATTCGCTTCTACCTTCTTGCTTACTAAAACCTGGAGTTGGCAGAAACACAGATTCAAGCATGCAGATGCCACAAAAAATCTGAGATGGTGGAGTAATGTGTGTTGGAAGGAGCTTGGATTCCTGAACAATCATGAGCAATGAGGTTTCCCATAAAAGGGAAATGCAATTATTTACTATTTTAGTCACTGTATTGTCAATCTATTGCTAGAAATTAGCATTAGCATAATTCATACATTATTCTTGCCCAGAGTGGGAATTATGGATGTTTCTACTCCTAGTACAGTGCACGAGATGTATTAGATTATTGATAAATAATTTTAACCTGAGAAAATTATACCACTGACTTTTTCAGTAAGAGATTTTAGATACTGAGAATGCTCTGAGTCATCAAATTCACTTGTCCCCTTTTAGTTGATTTGATACTGTACTTCAGACACATGTTCCATCCCAAATCTCATCCTGCTATTCTTAGGTTGCATTTTCATTCTCACACATCTGGCTTTAATTTATTCTGGACATATTAAGGACTGGATCCCTAGGCATGGTTTGAGAAGTGGTTCTGCTTTTCACTTTATTTAAATTATAAATCCCTTGCTGTACCAGACAATTATTTATTACATCACTAGTACCAATGTTCGTTGTAAAAAATTTGCTCCTGCAATAAAAAGCTTCTTTACACCTCTCTTGAACCCCAGATTCTATGAACAGTACATAAACGAAGAGTCATCAGTCTAGAAAAAAGAGCTGCTCACGCAAGGTTACATTCTACTTGTCACACATAAAGATGCCTCAAAAAAGAGTCCAGTTTATTTTCAAATCAAAGGACATGCCCTCTTTCCCCATTAAACCTGCTTAGCATTTTCTTTTATGCCATTAAAAAAGGTATATGTGCTTCAGAAAGCAGTTTAAGAATTTCTTACTTAGAAAATTAATCTAATCATATTGCTAGTAAGATTTTTTTTCTTCTGAATGTCAAAAGCAGGCACTCTCTATGCTATTCATTTTGCTAATCACTGTAATAGACTTCTAATTATAACAGAAACGATGCATAAGAGGGTAAACTTTTAAATATTTGGTGCCATTGTGTTTACTTTCCAATAACAATCTGTGTTGAATTCCACTCAGTAGAATTTTTAAATCCTTCTGAAACACAGCAAAATTCTATTCTTATCCCCCACAAATTCAATTAGTTAATATCAGTAAGTATTTTCTTCATGCTTAGCATTTGAATAATGAAAATAAGACACAAGGTCTTATTTCAAAATTTAATGGTGGCAAAAGCATCTGGGACATGGGGAAACAGAAATGGGGAAGAGTTATAAATAATGGAGTAATAGGCTGGGTGCAGTGGCTCAGGCCTGTAATCCCAGCACTTTGGGAGTCCGAGGTGGGCAGATCATGAGGTCAGGAGATTGAGACCATCCTGGCCAACATGGTGAAACACTGTCTCTACTAAAAATACAAAAATTAGCTGGGTGTAGTGGTGCATGCCTGTAATCCCTGCTACTAGGGGGGCTGAGGCACGAGAATTGCTTGGACCAAGGAAGCAGAGGTTGCAGTGAGCCAGGATTGTGCCACTACACTCCAGCCTGGCGACAGAGCAAGACTCTGTCTTTGAAAAAAATGGAGTCATAAATCTGAAGTAAGTAAGGACCATTTCATGGAATAGATGGAAGCCTGAACACAAAAGGAAAATGTATATTACCTGGACAGGCAGAGCACAAAATAAAAAGCCCAGATACACAGACACGTTTCACTTATGGCAGGCATTAAAAACAAAGCAAACAATTTGACATAAGTATAGATAAAGAAACTGTACAGATAAAATTTTAAACTGGAAATAATGGTAACCTTACAGATGGCACTGAGGGAAAAGTTATTGGTGATGTGTTATATAACGTGGAATAACTATAAGTTTACTTCATGAGGCTAATGTCAAAGATAAATGCAATGTCTTAGGTAATGATATCTATCAGTACCATTTCAAAGATTAACTCGGAACAAGAATGGAATCTGTAGCTTCCATTAGGAACAGAATAATCTAAGCATAAAAAATACAGACCTGTTTTGGAGTGGTGTTACTGGAATTAAGATGAGAGGCTAAGTAGTATTCTTAAAAAAGAAAAAATAGGAATTGCAGAGTAATTAGTAAGAGAAAACAGCTAAGAGGGAAGAAACAAGAAACAGCAGAATCCGAGAAAATTTGGAATGTGAGGATTCCTGATTTGGGTAATGATGATGCCAATTCCTCCCATACTGAGGATGAATAAAGTAGAATATTCAGTGGGAATTGTATATTATGCAGGTAAATAAGTACTAGAGCACAATTATAATATGGCACCTAGTGGTGTCAACATGGAAGTCATCAGAATACAAATAAAAACCTTAAGCATTCCAAATGGAAGACACCTTTGAGTTAATTATTATTGGAACAGATATCCTGAAGACAGTAAATGGTACCCCTAGCTAGTGCATCTTAGTGGGAAAAAAGCCTCTAAGAAAAGTAAATGAGACAATTAGGTACAAATAAAGAAGGAAGAGAAAAAATTGTATGGTTAGAAAAGATAAAATAGAAACAAGCAATTCACAGAGGGGAAACCCAAATGGATAGCGGATACTTGAAAGGGGGGGAAAATAATACAATACCACTTTATATCCATTATATTGGCCACAAGATAAGAAATCTGTACAGTGATGGGTGTTGGCACAGATGTGGTAGATTGCACATATATTCCAATGATCAAGCAATATCAATTCTACGTAAACATCCCTGAGGAATAATCTGACAGGCTCATAAGGTGATATTTATAAGAAATTATTTTTTATTGAGGTATAATTTATATATAGTAAAGTGTAAATATTAACTGTAAAGCTCAATAAATGTATGCAAAACTATATAGTATAGGCCAGGCACGGTGGCTCAAGCCTGTAATCCCAGCACTTTGGGAGGCCGAGATGGGTGGATCACGAGGTCAAGAGATCGAGACCATCCCGGTCAACATGGTGAAACCCCGTCTCTACTAAAAATACAAAACATTAGCTGGGCATGGTGGCGCTTGCCTGTAATCCCAGCTACTCAGGAGGCTGAGGCAGGAGAATTGCCTGAACCCAGGAGGCGGAGGTTGCGGTGAGCCGAAATCGCGCCATTGCACTCCAGCCTGGGTAACAAGAGTGAAACTCTGCCTCAAAAATACCAAAAAACAAAAAACAAAACAAACAAACAAACAAAAACTATATAGTATAGATCTTAGCTGTAAAGCTGAACTCCAGTACTCATATGTATACACCTATGTAACCAAAACTCAGATGAAAGTAGAAAACACTTTAATTATCCCAGAAAGTTCCCTGGTGACCCTTTTTCATCAATAATTGATTCTCAGAGGTAACCATCATTTTGACCGTAGATTGCCAATCACTTATCATCAATATTATCACAATCACAGATTAGTTTTGCTTGTCCTTGCTTGAACTTTATATAAATTGAATCATGTAGCATTTGCATGTCTGGTTTC